TCGTCGCTGGCGGTGGCGGAGGGCGCTGCTGTGGCCCCGGCGGTGGCGCGACGGGGGTGGTGCGCGGAGGGGAGGGGGAAGGAGAAGGGTAGTGGGGAGGAGATGGCCATGAGAGGCATCGGGTCCGAGAGGGAGTGGGGGGGTCAGGCGCACATGGAGGTGGCGGCGGAGTCGCAGGTGTGGTCGCCGCGGGCGCCGGGGCCGGACGGAGGAGAGTGGAGTTGAACGCCCGCTCCGCCACTGGTCGCGATAACGTTGGCAGTTTGAGCGGGTAACGAAGAAGGAAGAAGATATTTGGCCGGGCAAGCTAAACTGAAGTGGCTGGCGACTTTTTCCGAGTATTTGTGATCATCATTGATTCGTTATTAGATTTTCACACATGAATCCAGTTGAAGCTAGCTGGGCGACCCGTAGAATTTTTATTATTACAAAGATTCACCATAAAAACAAGGAAAACGTTTGGAGACGACGCGCCGGCCGAAGCTTCGCCCGGTCACGCCGCGTAGCTCGCTTTAGTTTTTCTCTCCATGTGACTATGTGAACATCTGGGACCACCCACCGCCTACCTCTTCATCTTATCTCTTGAAAACACACTACAACCATTGGTTCCCCTCAAGTCTCTCTCCTCCCAATCCCAATCTCGTCAGCCATGGCACGGCCATCCCCCCGGTGAGCAGCTCCTTCCATGGTGCTCGTGCGGCTCCTACCTTTCCTTGGCTGTGACGCTCGTCGCCTTGTCCGCCTTCGCCGGCAGCTGAACACACGCCCTCTCAATGGCCGTCGCAGTCAGGGTGCTTCGGTCGCCATGGCCAAGCTGCATCCGGCCACGGCCACGGCGGCGAGTTTGTGTTGGAACCGAGGGGCTTTGCTGGAACTGGGTTTTTTTTGTTCGGTCCACCATTTTGTTTTGCTACAACCCCTTTGTTTTTTGCTACCATCCCCATTCGTTTTCGATGAACATCTTCGTTTTTGTTGGAATTGGTGTCCCTGTCTGCTGCAACCAGCTGGTGTATGTGCTACAAGGTCGGTGCCTCGTCGGGGAAGCTACATCCAGCAGCAAGGAGTGTTGTATCCAACGCCGTTCGAACGTCGGGAGCTGCAACCGGCTACCGGGGGAGCTGTAAGAGTGGGTCGCCACTTTTTTGCTGATGCAATTTTTGCTGAACCAATTTTTTTGTTTTTGCTGGAACCGGTGTATTTTTTTGCTGGAACCAAGATAATTTTTTGCTTCTTTGGATAGCTTCTTTGGATACAGAGCTCTCAAATACTCATGTCGTTTTTGTTGGCACCTAAGTTTGTTTTTGCTACAAGCATTTTTTGATTTTGCTTCAACCAACCACCCGACTTCGACCCGGGGTGATTTTTTTGCTGGAAGATTTTTGTTGCCTTGGCACTCGAACCCGGCGAGTTGGAGACGCAGAGATGATGCATCTAGCCACCCTGACTGCTAGCACATGCATCGTCAGAAGTTTGGATCCAGCAAATTATTTTGCCACCACCATAATTTTTTATTGGAAACAGCTTCAAATTTTGCTTCCACCATGTTCTGTTTTTGCCAAATTTTGCTTCCACCATGTTCTGTTTTTGCTAGATCTAGCTTTTGTTTTTGCTTCCACCATGACGACGGCCGGCAGCGATGAGGACAACCGGCGAGGAGGGTGGCTACAGGCGAGCGCACCAAGGCGGGCGGTACTTTCAGGCTGAGCGCATCGCTCATCCATGGCAGCGCTGGGAGTTTTTTTTGAAGGAAGAAGACGCCTGGTGAAAGAAAAGGAGAGAATCGTACGGCTATGAGTTGTTCGATCGGACGTTGCTAGTACAACCGGCCCAAAGTTGGGCCGGCGCACCGACGCCTAGTAGTGGCCTAAAAACAAAGCACATCACGCTATAGTCTTGTACTCCCTCTATAAACTACCAATACTATAAGACATTTTAAATCGCTAAAGATTTTATATTAGTTTACGGAGGGATACTTTAGAAACCCGGTGAAGTTATTTCCCACCTTTATAACTCAAAAAAATATCAAAAATTATATCTATATAATGATATTATAGGCAAGAAGATACATATACTCACATAATGTGGTAGTGTTTGTTTGCTTTGTTTTATAATGAAATATCTTGTATTAACATAGATGTTAGTTTGGCTCCATGCAAAAAAGTAAATCCTAAATAGTTTGACAATAATGTAACTTAATATATATGAGCGTGTTTACTTTATTAATACATGAATAGTGTTAGAAAGTGTATAAATATTTCAAGATGTATATCAACACAAAATGACATGCGAACAAGATAACTTTTGATGAAGTACAAATATTTGATATAAATAGTCAATGTCAGCCGTCGTTACCGCCACAACTCACCCGCCTAGAACCGATATATAAGACAGATCACAAAGGCGTGGCTACTGATATTTCCCTACTTTTTAGACTCAACTCGTCCAACTGTTATTGTAATAATTCGAGCCGGTCGTGAGTGAACCAAACAATGTCTTTCTCATGCGGATTATATAAGTGAACGATGGCAACGGTGGAGCCGGATCCTCTGACTTGCAAGAGGCAAGGCAGAGAGCTACAGTGCTTCTTTGTATAAATGGAGAAGGGAAGTCAGAGACCGCACAGTATTCTGCAAATCATTGTAGATATTTACTGTTTATGAATCATTGTTCGATATTACTGTTCACAAATCGTTGTGTTAGATCGTAATTTTTAGAAGGCCGGCGAAGAGAAGTCGGGGCCCTGTATTATCCTTTGTCGTCTCTTCTAAAGTCAGAAGATCTCGTTCTGGCAGCAGCCTCACAAAATTAAAAATCTAATCGCAAAAAATAACCTGAAGCTTGCAGCATGGCTCCCAACCTAACTGTTAGGACGTAACCACCGCCTCCCCACAAAGTACTCCACTATCATGAGTGAGATAATATATACTGCTCAAACACTAGTCGGTGTTGGGCTTTCAAGAATATGTGGAGAATGTTCATTTTTTTGCAATTAAATCCACATAAGGTTTGTTATTTATAATCAGTCGGAAGTATCGATCGAGCACAACAATTCAGTCACTGGGTAGAAGTGTAGCCATTTTCCGGCGGGAGTGGACAACCAACATCTAGATTCTATGGACCGGTGAACCCATCAGGGCATCTCCAACGGCAACCCGTAAATTTCGTCCCTCATCACGTACATTTTAACAATAGTTCCAACCAACCGGATGAAATTCATTCAAATATGTCTGGATTTCATATAAATATGACGAATTTCATTACATTTACATCAAAATGGTGCTAGTTCGGCTTTGGAGGTATAATTAATACATAATCTAAATGGTCACCGTCGCCCGTTCCCCGTGTGTGGCCATGAGCCCCGAGAACTGAAACTTTGCCTTCTCCAGTTCCGCCTCAGTGCTCTCCAGCTCTGCCTCCGGAGACCCGGGAAGTGAAGTTGTACGCCTCCACGTCGCCGCCAGGCGACTAATCGGCCGCCAATGCTGAGCCCACCAAGCTTGGCGTCGAGGGGAGGGGAGGAGCGATGGCCTTCTTAGGACACGAGCGGCGACGACCTACCGTGTACTACTCTTCCTCGCTGTCAGCGGCGCCCCCGGACGTGTCGGCTTTGTGGCCGTCATGGCGGGGAGCAGCCTATGAAGGAAATATGCCCTAGAGACAATAATAAAGTTATTATTTATTTCCTTATATCATGGTAAATGTTTATTATTCATGCTAGAATTGTATTAACCGGAAACATAATACATGTGTGAATACATAGACAAACAGTATGTCACTAGTATACCTCTACTTGACTAGCTCATTGAATCAAAGATGGTTAAGTTTCCTAGCCATAGACATGAGTTGTCATTTAATTAACGGGGTCACATCATTAGAGAATGATGTGATTGACTTGACCCATTCCGTTAGCATAGCACTTGATCGTTTAGTTTGTTGCTATTGCTTTCTTCATGACTTATACATGTTCCTATGACTATAAGATTATGCAACTCCCGTTTACCGGAGGAACACTTTGTGTGCTACCAAACGTCACAACGTAACTGGATGATTATAAAGGTGCTCTACAGGTGTCTCCGAAGGTACTTGTTGGGTTGGCGTATTTCGAGATTAGGATTTGTCACTCGGATTATCGGAGAGGTATCTCTGGGCCCACTCGGTAATGCACATCACTATAAGCCTTCCAAGCATTGCAACTAATGAGTTAGTTGCGGGATGATGTGTTACGGAACAAGTAAAGAGACTTGCCGGTGACGAGATTGAACTAGGTATTGAGATACCGACGATCGAATCTCGGGCAAGTAACATACCGATGACAAAGGGAACAACGTATGTTGTTATGCGGTTTGACCG